CGCAGGTGAGGCCCCGGGAGGGACGTGGGGAAACCGAGGCCCGGAGGGGGCGAGGCCTCACGGCGGGCAGGCCGAAGCCTGCGCCACCGCTTCACCTCTTAGGCCTTAGAGCTGCGCTGCCGGGGAGGCCGGTGTCCGCCCGCGTCAGTATCAGGGCGTCCCCATACTAAGGTCCGTAGGGCGGCAGGCCACCCCCACCTGTCACTGCTCCGGCGCTTTCAGCTCCTCCATCTCGCCTCCCTCCAGGAGCCTTTGCCCAAGCTGGCCGTCTGCCTGGGACGCCTGCCTACCGTCTCTGCTCTCACAGCCCCGCTCTGCGCTCCTGCGTGCCGCTTAGCTCCTCTTCCCGGCTTGTGTCCATTCATTCCGCATTTATTGAGCACTCACTGTGTTCCAGCACTGCCCGAGGTGCTGCTTTTAACACTGTGCATGAAGAACATAAGGCACGTTCTGGGAGTGACAAGGGGGCTGCTTTAGAGTGAGTAGTCCTTAGGCCTGACAGTGGAGCAGAGACCTGAATGGATTAAGAGGAGGCAAAATCGAGAATTTTTCAGGTGGAGGGTACTCCGAGGCCCAGACTTGAGACAGAATTAAGTGCCTTACAGTAGCTTCATGCAGGACTTACCACCCTCAGGGATAGTGCCTGGGTTCGTAACCGCAGTTACAAATGACCCAGTTGGTGCCTGGCATTCGGTTAATGAATGAAATGTGAAAACACTCTGTATACTACCAAACATTCTTTCTCAGTGGCATTTCTTGGGTCACACAGCTTTTGGCTGCTAGGGAAGTCGAACTAGACCGTGGTCTTCCAAGTCCAGAGTGTCTGGTGTAGCCCCTGAGACTGGAAGTCCTTCCCATCACCTGTAAAATCACCCCCTTTTAGCACTGCGGTTGTAAGTAACACAATGCTTCTCACTCCAGAATTGCCACAGGGATTCTTCTTTCACTAGAAGAAATAGGTAGAGAATAGGATCAGCGATCTTTGCCGTTTTTTGGTTTTGGTTTTTGGCTGCTTAAGATTTATACCCAGATGGTCACCAAGACAGGGAAGCTGCCTTGCTAAGTTTGAGAAGACAAGTACAATTCTGCCCAAACACCACACTTCTGAGAGGTGTGATCTTGGGTAACTGAACCGCTCTGGGCTTTGGTCTCCTTATTTGCAGGAGGTTTGGCTTGCTGAATGTGCTTTCTAGCCCACATTCTGGTCGAGAAACAAGTACCTCCTGTTGTGGGACCCAGCGTGGTGGGCGGATGTCATGAGTGGTAAAAGAATTTACCAGCGATAAAGTATGAGATTAGGAAAGGAGTTTATTAGGGTGCACTGTCATAGACAGCAGCGGCCACACAGACGGGAGGTGCCTGTGTGACCCCTGGGGGCCAGTTGTTCGGGTCTTTTATAAGGTCGGGTCACAAGGTGCCTGATCTGCTTGTGCACAAGGTTCTGATTGGTTGTAGGTGAGGCAAGAAGTTTAGGGTCCCTGAAGGGTGGTGGGGTTTATGACTGATAAGGATGAGGTGGGCTGAAACAAGCCAGCCTGGGCTGTTGTGAGATTAGGCATTACCTTGGGCTATTAGGGCGAACACACCCAGTAAAGATTGTACTGTTGATCACAGACAGACATCTGAGAGCCCAGGAATGGGGGTTGTTGGACTTGGAAGGATGTCATTTGGCCCCACGCCTACCATGTAAGCCCTGCACCGCTGGTCTGTGGAGTCAGAAGGATGATGATGGCTGTGTTTGCAGGCCTCTGCTCCATGTCCAGCACTGTGCTTGACCACTTGGTTCTCAGCAGTCACACAAAAGTGTTTGTATCAGCCTTTTACAGATGAGGAACAAAGTCAAGAGAGGTTGAGTGACCGCCCAGGGTCCCCCAGGTATGGCTGCACCCCAGGGCCTGTTGAATGTGACCACAGCTTTTTGGGTTTGGTGTGGCAACTTAGGAAAGAGTCTAAAAATTACATTTTCCATAAAACGGAAACAAACCTAATCAGAGTTAGGTAGTGTGATTTTATTCTGTAGCTAATCTAATTGGGGTGATAGGAATACTGCATGCATTCACGATAATGTAATTTTGCGGTCTACTAGTCTTGTGCCCCAGCTGTGCCATGGAAGCCACAAGGACAAGTCAGATGTGTACCTTGCCCCCAAGGAGAGTATGATCTCATCAAGGAGATAAAACATAACTCACTTAACTTCTAATCAGGGTCAGAAAGCTAGAAATAAAGATAAAGAACTAAATGTGTTTGGAGAAGGGAGAGGTTTTGCTGTCCCCTCTCCGAGCCTGTGACAGCCATATCCCTAACACCTGTGATGTCTCTGGCCCATGGGCACTGCTCAGTAACTATTTGGAGAACCTTGTTTACAGCAGCCCTGCCCTTTGGCGGGCTCTTTACTGTTACAGACAGTGCTGTCCTTGAACCTCCTACACATGCATCTTTGTGCCCATGCCAGGTTTCTTATGGGATCCAGGAAAGGGAATGCTGGGTCAGAAAGCACGTGCATTTAAAGTTTTGTTAGGTGTTAGAAAAAAAAAGTTGTTGAAGAAATGCAGCCCCACTCCTAGGTGTGTGCCCTGGAGAAACTCACATGTGTGTACACACATCTGTGACCATGTGGAGCAGACCACAGAGCACAGGGTAGGGGACCATCTGCCCTTCAGCAGGAGATGCTGTTCTCATACTGCAGAGAAAATGAACGCTCAGAGTTATGGAATGTGGATGAATTTCATAAGCAAGATAGGGAGGAAAAAGCCTGAAAAGGCCCCAGCAAGTTGCAGAAGATGATATTCACTTTTTATAAAGTTTAAAAACACATAAAGGGCCAGGGAGGGATAAATTAGGAGTTTGGGATTAACAGAGACACATTACTATATATAAAATAGAGAAACAACCAGGCCCTACTGTATAGCACAGGAAACTATGTTTAATTTCTTGTATTAATACATAATGGGAAAGAATCTGAAAGTCCATATATATATTTATATGTATGTGTATAACTGAATCGCTTTGCTGTACACCTGAAACTAACACTGTAAATCAACTATACCTCAATAAAGAATAAAATTAAAAAGCACATCAAAACTGAATTATACATTTTTAGGGATGTCTACGTATGTAATGTAAAGAATGCGTGAGAACGACAACCAGCATATTCAGGATAGGGTGGAGAAGGAGGTGTGCAGATGTCTCCCTGTGGTGACAGGGTCGCATGTTGTGAGGTGGGTGGTGGGGACTTGGGTTATACTGTTCTTTATGGCTTTTTTGATTTCCTAGATTTCATTGAAAACTTTTTAAAGAATGAGGCCACTAATTGAATTGAGTTCGATTTAGAAATACTAAGAACGCCAAGTAAATAAATACACATGTGGTAAAACTATAAAGGATTTTTAAATAGTTCATGAAGTCAACTTAGTGAATTATGACAAGTGTTTTTTTAAACTTTTTTTATTGAGTTATAGTCATTTTATGATGTGTCAAATTCCAGTGTAGAGCACAATTTTTCAGTTATACATGAACACGCATACATTCATTGTCACATTCTCTTTCACTGTGAGCCACCACAGGATCCTGTATATATTTCCCTGTGCTACACAGTACAATCTTATTTATCTATTCTACATTTTGAAATCCCAATCTGTCCCTTCCCACGCCCTGTCCCCCTGGCAACCACAAGTTTGTATTCTACGTCTATGAGTCTGCTTCTGTTTTGTATTTCTGTTTCGTTTTTTTTTTTTTTAGATTCCGCATATGAGCGATCTCATATGGTATTTTTCTTTCTCTTTCTGGCTTACTTCACTTAGAATGACATTCTCCAGGAACATCCATGCTGCTGCAAATGGCGTTATGAGTAGTATTCCATTGTATAAATATACCATAGCTTCTTTATCCAGTCGTCTGTTGATGGACATTTAGGCTCTTTTCCACGTTTGGCTACTGTAAAGAGTGCTGGTATGAACATTGGGGTGCAGGTGTATGACAAGTGTTTTTTAAAAAGCGACATAGAGCAGATACTATCAGAAGGCAGGAATGGTAGGAAGTTTCACAAACTTTATTTTGTTTATATATACAAATGCTTCTGCACTCATGATGGAGGTGACAGAAGCTAGATCACTGTGGCCTGGTGGGTAGGATGGATAAGAAACACTGCAAACAGTACAGACACATCGTACAGACTTTTTATATGTAAGATGTATAAGTTAGAAAAAATTTAATAGGTTTAAGATGAGAGCAAAATTGCAGAAATGTTGATAAGCATAATGCTTCTTTTCTCTTTCTGTATTTAAGCAACTGGAAGCCATTTATGTGAAGGTAACATCCAGAGACTTGAAAGGCCAGGAGAAGCCGATGCCCACACTGGCCACCATCCAGCCCCAGGCGGCTGGGCCAGGCCCACCTCCCCAAAGGCACTGCAGTGTGCTGGGACTCAGCATCGCCAGCTCGCAGCTGCTCAGGGCAAAGCCCCTTCTGAGCACCGGGCCACAGCCGTGCTTCCTGAGTACCTCGCCTCAGCCTCCTGCTCAGGTGTTAGTACAGAGGCCACTGCCTGCCCTCCGACCAGTCTCTGTGAAGAGAGGCTTGGCTCCTGAGGCTCCAAGTGGGCAGGGAGCCACGTTGGCCCCTTCGTCGGCCTCCGACCAGCCAGCAGTGACATCTGTTTCATCCAGTTCAGCAAATTTATTTATTTCCAACTCACATGCAAAACACACTGAGAAACTAAAAAAATCTTTAAAAGTAAAAACACGTTCTGGACGGATATCTCGACCTCCCAAGTATAAAGCTAAAGATTATAAATTCATAAAAACAGAGGATTTGGCCGACGGACACCCGTCAGATTCTGACGATTATTCAGAACTGAGTGTGGAAGAAGATGAGGACCAGAGGGGGAAGCAGGCGCTCTTTGACCTGTCGAGCTGCATCCTGAGGCCCAAAACGTTTAAGTGTCAGACATGTGAAAAGTCATACATAGGAAAGGGGGGTCTGGCCCGGCACTTTAAGCTTAATCCAGGCCACAGCCATGTGGAGCCTGAGATGTCGCTGTCGGAGAAGGCCAACGGGAGCGTGATCCAGGGCCCCACAGAGGGCAGGACTGTCAGCCTGGCATCCCCGGAGCCACCCCCACCGGCTCTTCTAAGTGAGGATGGGGCCCGGTCAGCAGGGGGTGGCCTGCAGGTAACGTTTCTCTCTGGTAGGAGTGTCCTTATTCCTGCCCGTCCTTAAATTAGCTGCACATTGTCTGCACTGCCGCTGGGTAATCAGGGAGAAGTGTGTCTTCTGCCTGGCGCAGCGTGGTTTACCGAGCACGTCTGAGGGCAGTGTAGCCGCCAGTCCTTTAGGTCTGGTCAGTGAACTAATCGCAGAGCACCCTTGGCCGGAACCGACCTGCCCGCGGCCTTGGGAAAGGCCCTAGTGGGGGCACCGCTCTCCGGGCTGCTTCCTGGGGCGTCTGCAGTAACCCGCTGCCTGCCCGGTCCCCATGTCCTCGCCCTGCTTTTCCCCTTTTGACACGATCAGACAAAGCAGATACACGTCACCGTGAGTTTGCATCACTACGTCAATGTATATTTACTGAAATTTTAACTTACCCAACGTGTGTGGTGAGCGCTTGTGTGCGGTATACAGGAGGTTGGTCATTTTAACAGCGGTAAAACCATGGGACAGCCTGGTGTCAGGATTCCAAGGTGCTACCTTGCTCTGTAGCATCAGCCTCGGTAGTGACAGTAGTAACAGTGCCGTTACTGCAGGCCTACCTTGGGCAGGAGGCGCACGTGCATTTTCTCAATCCTGGGAGAGCCCTGAAGGCAGGTGCAAGGGTTCCTGCCTGCGACGAGGCACCTAGGTCTCAAAGAGGGTGGTGGGCATCCCTGTCAAGACACGTCTAGGAGTCTGTCCCGGGGGGAGTTTAGACCCAGTCTTCTGACTTCGCAGCTCACGCTCTAGGCCCGCTTGCCTCTGGTAGAAGGTTCTGTGCCTCTTGCAGCTGGAAAAAGCCCAACTTTTGTGAGACTGCTTACTTCTCTTAAGTTGTAGTAGGACCAGGGTGACCATGTGGTTTATCACCCAAACCAGGACATTTTGAGAATAAAAGGGGTGATTCCAGGGGACATCCAGGACTGTCTCAGACAAACTGGACGGCCAGGCTGACTGGCACTTTCTTTTTCCTTCAATAACGAAATCCTACACCACTGAAAAAGCAACTTCTGGATATCGGACTTCCTGAATATAGGCACCTGGCCTTGCTCCAGATTGCTTGGAGGCCGTGGGGTCCTGGAGCTGGCTCCCTCCAACCAGAGAGACATCATATCTGTGTCCTTTCCTGAGCCTGCTGTGGAGGGCCACTTGGTACTTAAAGCCACAAACAGACCTGGCACTCCTCCTGAGGCGCCACTGTCGTGAAGACTTGGAAGGAAAACTATCTGGGAGGACGTACGTGGTGCTGGCTTTCCTTGCGTTTGTTTAACCTTCCCATAGTCTTGGGAGGTGTAGGTGTACTACTCCTCTTTTCAGGGGAGGGAATTGGCCCAGAATGAGGAAATAGTGTCAGGTCCAGATTCTCTTCCTAAAGCTATGCAAACGCACGGCTACAGAGCACACAACTGGCTGCCCCGCCTGGGGCGGGGCCAGGGGGATGCGCGATGCTGTGTGCCCAGGGTTTC